ATACACAGTTTATCTAGACTCCCATTAAACTGATGCAAAACATTTTGGAGTACTTTACTTCTAGGTGTACAATATTGCATGAAAGAATATAAGTCATCTTTTAGTGTAATTAAAGGGAAATTTCTTTACTAATAATTTCATACTATTTTATAAAATGAAGTTGACAAGGAGTTTTTAAATACTTCAAATCAAAAATACTCTTACATCATAAAATTTGTAATCAAATAATGCAATGAAAATTTACATATGCAAAAGGAGTTTAAATTATAAATCTAGACTAATTACTAGATCTTTCACTGTTTTTCTTTCTAATGTTTACTACTTCATCAAGTGAACAATAAACGAAGTGAACTTTAAATTAATGGTTGTTAAAGAATTAGAGGTCACAAACAAAGAGTAAACAAAGAGTACCAGGAAGAAAATCAGGCGACTGAGATGTCCCTAACTCAGACAATTCAGTTATAAAATACATTATTTGTAGCATCACCTGCACACATATGCATGTGTGCATGTGCACACACACACACACACAAAATTTGGTTAAAAGTGAAGCCATACACAGAAGTATACATGCACACTCGCAACACACCTATGTACATATTCTAATTTTCCAATTGAAGAGATAGAATAGTTTTCATCTTGGCTCATACAAGATATTGAAGTACTTCTTTAATTGTAAAAATATTTTCAGGTATTAGTTTGAAGTTGTTCTTAAAGTGGCCCAAGATTTGACAATCAAAGATGACATTCAGTATTTTGAATCAGCATGATTGAATCAACTGAATTTATTCATAATTTGTTGTCATGCAAAACTTTCATCTTAAGGTTTGGTTTATATTTCTTTTCAAGTTTTTGCTTCTACTTAATATGCTCATTGTAGGTGTGCCTCTTCAATGTAAAACTAAGTGCGTCAAATTCAAGTGTGTATTTGATTCATTCATGTAAAGTATTTCTGAATAAATGAATTACTGCATATGTTTGCAACCTTTTCATAATACAAGAATATTTGTTTAAAAATATCTTCATTAAGCCAATCTTGAAGCATGTATAGAAAAGAAAATTTATGAAAATGAAAATTTAAAAACTAATCAAATATATTTGCTCTTAAATCTCAACTCATTCATGGTATTCATGGAATACTATGCAACAATTATATCATAATTTTCTTCCTATAACTAATAAGGAGATCAAAAGACATAAATCGAACAAATTACCAAAATATTCTACAATAAAATTTCTTACAAATTTTTGCCAAATTTCATCAATGTGCCCCTTCACTACAAACATAAAAAGAATACAATAAAAATAAACCATAGGTACCTTGCCACATGATTCAAGAGCATGGTCCAGGAATCGACCCACTATCCTCTTAAGTTCTCTTTCACGGACACCGCGGGAATGGAGACTTTCCAAAATAGTCTGCAGCTGGTCACGGTCTGTTATTCGCCACCAACCTCGACGAAGTTCTGAAGTATCAAAAATATTACTAGTTTTATCAATCTTTTAAAAAACCTTTGTTTCACACTATTGCAGGATATACACAACTACAATTGCTCACCAAGAGGCACAGGTTGTCGCTCTCCAGGTTCTGGAAGACCTCCAGATCGTTTCAACTGCTCCAGTTGCACCATTTCCTCAGCAGTGAGAATAAGTGGGGCAGGTGAATCACATTGGCTAGGTGATGGTGATGACAATCGAGATGGTGGAGGGAACACTGGTATTCGCAGCTCTGCTCCACTTGCTCCAGCACTGAATGGAGATGCGCTATAAGAAGAAAAAAAAAATTAAAAGCACTGAATGAAAAACAAAACTCAGATTTGAAATTGTGATTACAAATTGCCTAAGTACAGTACTAATAATTTAGGGGAATGAAAAATAGAGAAAATTCAATTTGGAACAAATAAAATTCATTGAAAAAAACATTATTTTATAGCATTCTACTGAAGTTATTCTATTGGTTGGGTAGGAGCAAGTTTACATACAACCAATGGACATTACAATTATATATTTCAATTGTTTCATTTTATTTCTAATCTTATTCATCAAAAACACATCTCTAAAATAAATAATTATTAAATCTAATTTGAAAAATTTGATGAAAAATTATGAAGAACCTGCTATTACTATATGTAATTATTTTATTTCCTATTAACTAATGAATATTAAGCTGTTTCATCTGTAAATTCACAATGAAGTAACGTAGATCTTGCAATGGATATAAGGTAGTTTATATTTTTAAGAACTAACTTTCTTCAATATAGGTAAACTTGATTAAAAGACTCTTGGGCCCACAATTTTCTTATACTGATTTTTTTTTGTGAACTGTACATGGTAATGGATTGAAAAATAAGAAAAACAGAACTGAGAAACTTTTGTAAAAAGAGTAGTGTAGAATTCTTTTTTTTTTGTTAGTGCTTTTTGATTTTAAAAATGTCCAATATTATGCATTTACATTTTGAATGATCATCTTGCATTATTTATTTAACAATATTTCTTCAGT